CTAATAAGTTTTTTGTTAAAAATAAAGAATCCTAAGAAGTTTAAATATATTAAGTACTTTAAATAAATATAGTTTTGAAGATATTACTATTATATAAGTTGAAATTATATATATAGAAGGTTTAAATAAGCAAAACTTATAGTTGGTTTGCAGATATGTTATCTAGTATAAAAACTGTATAGTAATATATAAGTAAATTACTTAAATTAGATACCAAAAATGTATATATAACTAGTTGTAATCTTTTATATATGAACACCTTTGAAGGTATCTGTGTTCAAAAGAATTTAAATAAAAACATTATTTTTCAAATGCAAGAACTTTTAATTCTTTTTTAAAAAAATATTTTAATATAACTATAAAATTTAATTACAGATATTTTTATTAACTATTATATATACTAATAATATCTTAGTCTAATAATATTTTTGATTGGCTAATAAGTAAAAATAAAAATAACAAAATTAATTATAATAATAAAAATAAGAATAAAAGTGAGAATGAAAAAAAAGAAAAAAAATAACAGTTAAAAAAAAGATACAAAGTAAAAATAATAAAGATAATAAAGAAACATAAAAGTATAAAAAAAGAAAAGACAAAAACTGCCTTTTAATTTTGTAAAAAATAACAAAAAAATAAAAAGTTTAACCTTTTAATAAAAAAATATATTTTATAAATTTTGTATTTTTTATTATTTTGCTAATAAAAAATATATAATTAGTAGCAAGTTTCAAATACTTTTAATAAATTAGTTTTAATTTATTTTTTTTTTCAGTATTAAGATAACCTTTTTGGTTCTAGCTTTTTATTAATACTTATGTCAGATACATGTTTTATACAGATATATCTATATTGAACTATTAGATAAGTATACAACTGGCTATACATATAACTTTTCTATATTACTTATTTAAGAAGTTTACTTGAAGATTTTTTATTAATTGTTATATTCAGTGTTGTCATGAGACAGCTCTAGACAAATTATGAACAATTGTGGACAATTTTAAACAAAAAAACAAAACTAAATTACTCAAAATTTTATTAAGATAACCTATTTTAATTTTTAAATAAAAATATTCAGAACTATAAAAAATATATAATTATATCTTTTTTAAATTAATTTATTAAATTTTAAAGTCTAAAATTTCTTTGAACAATTGTGGACAGTATGGATATTTGGATATAGACAAAGGCAAAAAAAGTCTTGGACATAGTAGACATAACAACACTGGTTATACCTAACACTCCTGCTTAGATGTTCTATTTAAACCTTCTAATTTGACTTTAGTATTAATTTTACTAGGTCATAGACTTATATATATTTACTTTTAACTATAAGACTATAATCTTTAGACCATTTTTATCCTCAAGGCAAACCTATCAGAGTAAGCTGTATTTTCTTTTACTGCTAATCTGGTTTGACACTATGGCTGAGACCAATACTTGTAGTTAAAGTTACCTAGTAAACTGCTATTACTCTAGTAAAATTTACTCAAACTCTGATATCTATCTTTCTGACTTCTTTTTTATTATTCTCTACTAGTTGCAACTTAGAACCAACCAACTCCTCAAACTTTCAATTCAGATGGCCTAGTATGGTATATTATGTATCCTTTTCTTTTGGCAATTCTAGCAGTCTGGTTAGTTATATGCTTTTCTATACATCTTTGTTATCCAGTTTATCTAACAGTTCCTATAAAGGTGTTTTATAGTCTTTCATCAGTTCAATGGCACTATCAAAAGTTTGTGCTGCTTCTTTATTCAGGATTTTCAAGTAGGTTTCTGTCTTCTTAGTTTTTTAGCCTTCTATACTTGGTAGTCTTATCATGATTTGCACTGAAGCCTTATATGATACTAGTTTTTCATATTTCTTTATATATATATAATATTATACTTTATATAGATGCCCTAAGCTCTCAATGTCTGATAGGACCTGACTTGATGTACTTAAGATTACAGATGCCTAAAACTCAACTGATCAGCAAAAGACAGTTACCATAACACAGATATAATTTTCAAAATTTGTTAGCTATAGGAATTAAACCTTAGACCTGTTACTTAAAAGTTGACAACCTATCTACTTCACTAGATTATCACACTCTATATTAGTTTTAATTTATATATATGTTGTATCCCAAATGAGAATCCACCTAATTTAGAATTTGGCTGTTCTGATTCAGAATCAAAGCAGCCAAATTTAGAATTTCTATACAGAGTACTCGAATAGATATTTATATATTGTAACAGAGTAACAAAGTGGATTCAAGGATAAAGCAAATGTAATGAATTGTCACTTCAAAATCATCAATGTTGTGTAATATTACCCAAAAGCAAGATGAGGTAAATATAATTTGGCAATGGCTAAGGTGCTTTCAAGCAAATTACTAGGTAAGTATAGAGACTTTTCTAAAGAATGTTTGTGTTTCTTGACACTTTATATAATTTATAAACTGTTTTATTGTTTTATTAATTTCTTTTAATTACAAAAATAAAAGGAGACTGGGAAGTTATAAGGGTTTTCTTCCACTTAATGTCAAAACAGAGAACTATTTATAACAAATTATCAAGAAAGTATCTTGAGAGTGTTTTACCTTTTTCTATCTTAGTATTTTTTTTTTTATTAATTGTACCAGTTGACTCTTTAACTCATGCTTCTGTCTTTTTATTAACTACTCTATTTTGTAGATTCTGCTGATAGCATAGCTGCATAACCTAAACCATCTTCACAGCATCAAAGCTTAGTTGTGAATCTGTAAAGATAAGTTATTTTTATCTTTTTCCTGATTGCACAACATGGTAATTCTACTAAGTCTTTCTTTCTTTTTAGATTAGCTATAATTGTTATATATAGGATCTAGGCTTACAATCATAGCACTTTTAGTCATGTTTTTAGTTATGTTTTCAATAATCATTGCACAATAGCTTTAACCAAATTTCTCTTTAACAATGTATAGAATTGAAAATTAAAATAAAACATTTGTTTGTTAATTGCAATATTTAATCTCTAATACATGACATGATGTAATCAATTTAAAAGTATAAAAAAAAGTATGCTTAGTAATAAAAAAAGACAAAGATGAAAAAAATTTTCTCAATAACATAATTGATACTTGTATTGCTTTTACTATTTAATCCCTCAACTAAAAAAATAAAAAAAAAATAAAAAAAAAATACCAATAAACTCAATACATCTAACTTTATGAACACTAATAGAGAGTTTTTCTTTCTTTCATATATTGCTTTTAATTAACTTGTATCTGAATTCTTATTAAGTCATTTCCTTAATCAATAAAGAAAAGCAATTATTACTCATGAAGATTATAACTTAATTATTAGCATTTTAAGAAGTTTCCAAGACACATCTATTGGAACTGCAAAAGATAAGTTTTAGACAAAGAAAAGTTTTTATATATGCAATCTTGAAACATTCTAAAACTCTATTATTCAGCTTATAAAAGTCGCAAATTCAAATAAAAAATTAGATCATGTTATTTGTCTGTTTTAAAACCTTTATAATGTTCTTAGAAAGATACATGGCAACATATAACAACATTCTGGATCAAAAAAAACACATAAAACAATTAGTAACCAGCACACTTATGTTTCTAAGTTATTTATAGAACTATATGTCTTTCATTGTACACAATATTGTATAAGAAAAAGTTTTTCAGTATCTATAATTAGAAAAACCATTGTTTTAAAAAGTTGTTACAATGCATATAGGTTGATTTAGTTTCATTTAAAAAATATTTAAATAATAAGTATAAAATATATTGCACATCTTTATAATCACTTCATACAGTTTTTGTAGACATATCTATTATGCACCAAGAAGGTATCAGAAGTTGCTACATTTTTATTTTCAGTCTTTACTGTTTTTGGTTCTTCTTATATTTTACAAAATGATAATAGTCAGAAGTTTATCACACAAATTATTTATGAACTTATTTGTTTATAGAAAGAAATTCACATTATTAATAGGCATTCTTGTCACTTAGAATCTTAAGGTTCAGTTAAAAGTTCAAACAAGACTTTAAAAAATGCTCTTTTAACATGAATGAAAGATAACAATAGAAGGGATTGAAGCATTGGCCTTTTCATAGTTACATATGCTATGAATATTTATTGCTCTAGACCTACTTATCATACATTATATGAGTTAGTTTTTGAACAATACCCATTATGCTACTTTAATATAATTAAGAAATGAAAGTAACATTATGTTAATATAGAAGAAGACTTACTAGAAGGTATCATTGAAAATAAGGAAAATTTTGAGGACACTAATAATAATGATATAAATGATAATGATGACCAAAGTATGACACTTCAACAATGTAGTAATAGCATTACACATATAAAAATTAATAATTATATCTATAAAAATAAAGAAAGTATAATGCAAATACAAAAAATTATTGCAATTTAATTTTTTATGAATTTATTTCTTATCAATTTATAAATAATTTAATTAGAAAATAGGATTTCTGATCCTAAGGATGAAGAATGTAATGTTTCACTAGATTATAGATCTTTAATAACAACTTTGTCAAGTTTTTCTTAATCTTCAGAAAACAATTACTTAATGCTATGATGAACAATTTTGATAACCAGCAAGCATGACAATTCATTAAAGATGACAGTAATAGAGAACAAATAAATAATAAGAATACTAAAATGTTCAGTGAACTAATTTCTTAGCAAAACATTCAAGAAGTTCAGAGACAGATAATAAGAAACAAGTAATAATGTTATATGATTTTTTTATTATAAATTAATTAATTTTAAAATTATTAATTATACATATAATTTAATTCTATATATTTATATATAAATAGAAAACAAATGAATCAAATAATTTATATAACTTTATTCCTAATAAAAAATGTCATTATTAGACACTTCAAGACATATTAAATAATTCAAAGTATCAATATAATATTTATTACCAAATAGTGAATAAAAATCATGTAGACTATTATTCAAAAATGAAAAACCAGATGCACACAAGATATAATATTCACAAACATATCTATAAAGTTGGTAATCTGGTGAAAATTCAAATCACTAAAATTAATCATGAATCTGGTGATTGCTATACACTTTCATTCAAAGTATTTTCAGTACTTTCTAATAACATGTATAATCTTATTTGTCAATTTGGCATTCTAAAGAATGCATTTCTAACTGGTGAAGTTTTGTCACTTAAACTGAAAGAATTTCCTAAATTAGATAATCCATCAACTGATACAACTATCAGTATCATTGAAGCTGCAAAACTTTAATCTATTTCTTTTGCAAGTAATAAGAGATGCAATTGTAGAGATAATTGTCTTATAGCAAGATGTTTGTGTAAAAAGGTAAATACTTTATATAAGAGTAGATGTTACTCAAAAAATTCTAAGTGCAAACATAGGGCTTAAGATTGTATATAATAAATGAAATTATAGAAGAAAAGAACATCTTTAATCTATATAACAATTTGTATACATTAATATATTGTTGATACATATAATGCAGAAAAAAATATATTTTTTTTATTATATATGAGTTTCTTTTTTGAGTATAAAATGATTCTAAATTAAAAAAAAAAATCATAGCCTCTAGTTGTTAAAGAAGATAGTAATGATTTAATTTTCTTTATTAAATTTAAATTTTATTTTCTAACTTCTAACTTTAAATATTAATTTAGATTTTCAGAATTATAATTATTTTTAAGTATCTTAATTTTTGGCTAGCAATTAGAATCATTCAACCATTAACTGATTAATCTGAGACAGTAAATAGGAAATATAATCTAGTTTGTCAAGTTTAAATTCAATAGTGTATAAAATCTGTTTAGCTTTTATTATTATTATTATTTTGCCTCTATTTTGGGCAATACCTAGCCTTATAATAATACTTGATATAAAAGTATAAATATATATAATATATATAATAAGAACAGTTAGATATAACTTATATTGTTAATAAACAATAATAATCTAAATGCAAGCAATATACATATATTGATATAGAAGTTAAGTAATTTCTATTCAGGTATCTTGTATAGGAATTCTAAATTTGGCTGCTCTGATTTTAAATCAGGACAGCTGAATTCTAAATCAGATAGATTCTCATCTAGGATATAATATATATATAGTAATATACATTTAATATAAATTTGATTTTTTAAAATTTAATATTTAAATTCTAAACAAATCTAGATTCATATAGAATTTTGATTTTAAATTTTTATATTTAGTTAAATGTTATTAATAATTAATTGCTAATTACAAATTAATTTATTATATTATTTGATTACTAATTAAAATATCTAATTTAATTTAAACTTAACTATTAATTAATTAACTAATTTTATATCTAATATTATTAGCAATTAACTGTTTATTAACTACTAATTTTATCTTATTATTTAGTATAAAATTAGTTAATAATTAATAGTTAAGTTCAAATTAAATTAGTTATTTTAATTAGCAATTAATTTTCTTATATTTAACTAGTATTATGTTATTAAAAAAATAATTAGAATTTTTAAACTTTTTTTTTTACAACTTTAGCTTATATAACATTTTACTTAATAGCAATACTAATAAAAAGATTAAAACCACTTAACATAAAATTAAATATGCAATTATTAATACTATAATATACTTTATTTTTAACAAAAAAACTTACAACTAAAAAAAAATAATAACCTTTTTTTGATGTTTATTTGAATCAAGTTGGCACTATAAGTAGATTAAAAACTTTAGTTCTAAAGTGAATAATATACTTAGTTTTACATTAAGTAAATTTGCTATCAACAAAGCTCAAATACATAAAATATTGAGAAGCAAACAAAACTTAAGTAGTTTTTGCCTTGAGTTAAGCTTTTTGTTTAGTGAACTTTCTTACATATTTAGTATTTAAACTAAATAAATATTTTAAAAGCAAATAAAAACAAAATTAGTTCTTTTGTTAAGAATATTAGAAGTTAAAGAAAAAGAAGAACAACTAGAAAAACTCTTCTTAACTTAGACTTTCGCAACAATAATATACATTCTTTTTATCTTTTTTTTGTTTTCTTTTTTTTAAAAAATAAAAATTTGTCTTATCTTTATTAAAAGATCAATATTGTGCAGCACTTTTTTTTTGTAGTTATATACTTGTTTGAATATAGCAAATAAAAAACATAACAAATATATAATTTAGCCAATTATGTAAAGCAAATCAGAAAAAGATTTAAATCAGAAAGACCAAAAATATATTAAAATATGCATATCACAGATTGAATGAATGAATAAAAGGTGAATAATAGGTAAATAACAAAAAAAAAACTGCTATTATTCTACTTTATATCTGCCAAATAATAGCAGCATAATAGCAGTATAACAGTAGCATAATAGCAGAATAATAGTAAAATAATAGGAGGTTTGTCAATATGAGTAACATAATAATAACATAATAGCAAAATAATAGAACAGTTCTATTATTTTATTTTTAGTTACAAAGACTAAAAGTAAAATAATAGAACTGTTCTATTATTTTGCTATTATGTTACTATTATGTTACTTATATTGACAAACCTTCAGTTATTTTACTATTATTCTGCTATTATGCAGCTGTTATATTGCTATTATTTGGCAGATATAGGATAAAATAATGGCTGTTTTTTTTTGTTATTTACCTATTATTCACCTTTTATTCATTCATTCGACTTGTGTATATTCCAAGACTATATGTATAATATTTTTTAAAAAATAGTTACAGAGGTTTATAAAGAATTAAGCTGCTTAAGTGCACTTTAAACCTTGGCACAGTACTCCAATTACTTAAAAATTTCTTCTATATAGAAAATATCTAACTTAATTTCATTTTACAAGTAAATATAGTTTTTATTTTAGTTAAGAGTACTGTAATAAAATTTACTTTTTTTTATATTATTATATATTTATTTTTAGCTTTATATTATATTTTATATTTTTTTTTAATATTTTTACATAGTTTATAGATTATTTTATTAGTTTTAATTATCTATTTAATAGACTAATATTTATTTTATTCATGAATTTCTTATAGTATTTTATTTTAATCAATAGTTGTTTAGATATCTAAAATAATAGTTGTTTAATATTACAAAGACTCTGACCAAAAGATCCAAATCATGTCTCAGATGTCTCAGATATCCCAAAACACTCTAAAATAATGGAATAATTAATTTAATTATAGTTAATTAATATTTATTAATTACAATACAATATTTACTATAATGTTATTATATATTTTTTATGTATTATTATAGTTATTTTTAGTTGTGCTTAGAATAACACCTGTAAAAAGGTTTCTAAATGCTAAATAATCATAGAGAGTTTTGTAGATAAACATATGAGTTATACAATTATATTTGTTTTATTTTTAGTTAATATGTAAGTTATTGCACAATAGAGTACTAAGCATTGGTAAAAATAGAAAAATACAGTAGTAGTTTATTATTTGTACACAAGTATTATTAGTTAAATGCATATAAAATTTCTTAATTTCTATTGCATTTTAAATGTTTATATAGTCTAGGATGATGCTACAACACATAATAGCTTTAAAACTAATTAATTATTAGATAAAATCTATTTTCTAAAAAGACAGTTTTTGGATAATTCTTTTTTAAGTTTTTTTCTTATATAAAAGTGCTTTTGTATCTTAAATTATTTTTTAATAAAATATTATTTTATTTATTTTATCTTATTATTATTAATAAAAACTATTTTTTATTTTTATTCTTTATTCTATTTTTCTTTATATTTATCTTTATTTATTTTATTTTATTTTTTTTTGTAATAATATAAAATAAAAAGTTGAGTTTTTTAATTAGTTATTTGGCAAATATTAGTTTTATATTATTTATTTTATTTTTCTTTTTTTTTTGTGATAATATAAAGTGAAAATCCGATTTTCTTAATTAGTTATTTAGCAAATACTAGCTTTATATTATTAGAATTTAAAAGTTACATATGGCTGTTAATAGTCTAGTTATTAAGATTTTTTTTCTTCTGATTATACTTTACAGATATTTCTAAGTTTTAAAGTCTGATAATACTTGTACAGAGTAAACATTTTGTTATACCTGATTTATACAAACTAAACAATAGAATTTAGTTTAAAAGCTAATTCTATTGTTGTATCTTATAGTGCCTAAAAGGCTATTAAATTTAAATTATAATTTTAAATATTTTTTTTTTGGTATTAAGGTAACCTCTTTGGTCTTTTAACTTTTATTAATCACTTATTGGTATTGTAGTTCAATGA